CATGTAAACATAAAACGATAACCGATACAGAATACAATTTTCATAACATTCACCTCCGGTTCAAATTATGCTAACTAGTATTATAAACAATAAAAGAATAAGTAAGTGTAGAATAGTAATAGAGATTCAAGTAAACAAACAATGTAGAATAGCATGAAATTATGTAACATGGTAAATCAAATAGCTTATTAAAATATATCATGATAGATCAAATATCACATTAAAGTCGACAAAGCCGAATGAAAGTAGTAGAATAAACAAAATAATAGTTCTGATGAGCTTTTACACTTTGTAGTTGGGCCTAGTTCTCCTTACTCTAAGATTGTATGTATGTGTGGTTTTATCTGCTTGAGTTTCGGATGGTCTGGCTATGTCTTCGATGGTGCTGGTGGTTTCTTCAGGCATGATAGGACCAGTCGGTTGATTCCTGGGAGGTGAGCTTTGGAAGGGGCAGCCAATATCAAGCTCTGTTCTACTCTGATTCTCATTTTCTATAACTTTTTTTTCCTCCCTAGGGGCTAACACTCGTAATGAGACAGTTTCCTCTCGGCCGTTTGGTGTTCGGATAACAGCGTACTGAGGGTTGCATGTTACCAAATCAAATTCCTCTGTTATGGGATCGTATTTAGATGATCTAACGTTCTTCTTCAGCAGGACAGGACCAGGACTGGTCAACCATGTTAGCAAGAATGTTCCGGAACCACTTCTTCGGTTGAACCCAAGAAGTCGTTCATGTGGTGTCCTGTTAGTTGCAGTGCATAGTAAGACCGGATGGATTGCAGAGCATCATTTAGTACTAGTTCCCATTTGGCTATGTCCAATTCCTTAGAATGTAGAGCCAAGATGATGGCTTTCCATAAAGTCCCGTTAAGTTTCTCTATTTGTCCGTTCCCTCTCGGGCTGTAAGGGGTCGTTCTACTGTTCTCTCGTGGAGGAAATGCTGCACCTCTGTAGACATAAACGAAGTTCCCCTGTCAGTGTGGACGTACGCTGGAAATCCGAATAGGGCGAATAGTTCATTGAGACATTTAACGACCGTAGAGGAAGACATATCGGGTCATCACAGGAAAATGGAAGATTTTTAGTCCTTACGTAGTGTAATACTCGAGTAACGCCCGGGTGGCAAAGACTAGTATGCAGCTTTTTAAGGTCATTGCGAGTTATAGCAGATAGATAGTTTCTGGTAAATGTATCAGCTACAGTGTTCTGACTGCCAGGGTGATAGATGACGTCATAGTGGAAACACGAGAGTTCTAATTTCCACCTCTGGATTTTTTCATTTTTAATTTTTCCCTTGTTTGACCTGTTATACATGAAAGAGACAGATCGCTGATCCGTAACAAGTGTGAACGCTTTACCAACTAAGAAATGTTTCCATTTCCTCAACGACTCAACAATGGCATTTGCTTCTTTCTCAACTGAAGAATGTTTTCTTTCACTTTTTGTTAATGAGCGAGAGAAGAAAGCAACGGGCCGGCCATCTTGGTTGAGGGTAGCTGCAATGGCTATATTAGAAGCATCCGTCTCAACGGTTAAAGGGCGATTCGGATCAATAGTATATACGGCGGCTTTTTCAAGCTTATTTTTCAAACTTTCAAATGTTCTTTTGACTTCTTCGGAGACAGGAAATTGTTGATTTCTTGTTAACAGGCTAATTTTTGTTGAAAAGTTAGGTATCCACTGTGAGTAGTAAGCCAGAAGACCCACTACTCGTTTCTGTTCACGCATGTTCACGGGTACGAGTAATTCCCTTAGAGCGCGAAATCTCTCAGGATTCGGCTTAAGTAGTCCTCTGGAAATCTCGTATCCTAACAGTCTCACTTTAGCAGTGCTAATTTCACTTTTGCTTCATTAAAAGTGATTCCATACTTTTGAGCACTATCAAGAAATCGCTGTAGGTTTCGGTCGTGTGATTCAGAGTCCATACCACAGATGGTCACATTGTCCACATAAGCAAAAGTATCAGTAAGTCGTTCGTCTTCGATGATTTTGTCAATCGTACGCTGAAAACAGGCGACTCCATTCGTAACGCCAAACGGAATCCGACGGAATTGATACAGTTTCCCAAATGCTTCGAAGGCTGTGAACGGCCTTTCCTCTTCTTATATAGGAATCAGATGGTATGCACTTTTCAAGTCTAAAGTGCAATATATAGAGTACTGAGAAATCTTTCCTGCTAGTTCATCAGTTCTGGGCATAGGGTTGGCGTCTAGTTGAGTGAATCGGTTTATGGTTTGGCTGTATTCTATAACCATTCTTTTCTTATGTCTGTCATTTGTTGTGACTAGGACTTGTGCACGCCAGGGAGATTTAGATGGTTCAATAATTTCATCATTTATTAGTTGTTGAATTTCTTTCTCTATAAACTTTTATCTGGAATTGAGCATCTGCGAGACCTTGTAGCCACTGGTGTACAGTTTGGTGACAGATTACTAAATAGGCTAGGAGCTTCTATCTTCGCTGGCTGGAGAGTATTCGGGCACAACGATGGTTTCTGACCATCGAAAGGAATAAACAAGTTTTGGTGCAAACTTATAAAGTCAAGTCCAAGAATTACGTCAGAGCATAAATTGTCTAGTAGAGAAAGTCTAACTCCCTCGTATTGTTCATTTTTGAGACGTATGTTAGCGTAGATATGTCCTTGAGTGATTCGAGATAGATGGGTGGAAGCCATAAAGATACTGTTGCCTGAGGAACATGTCTGCCATTTGTGCTTCTTAGCGATGTGCGTCGAAATATAGCTTTCAAAGCTCACAGTGTCTACTAGGGCACATTTTTGATGCAAATAGGTATTGTAGACTTGTATAGATTCATAGCGATAGCCGAAACTGTTGAAGCCCTAGATTTGCAAACTTTCTGAAAATCGCCCCTTTTGGAGCACTGGTTGCATGTGGCTTCCCTTGTAGGGGCATTGAGAGCGGGGATGTTTAACCCTGCCGCAAAAGTAGCACTTGCTAGCTAATGCATTTCGAGGAATCGTTACATTTGGCAAGGGTGAGGCCGAAGAATTGGTGGGAGTAGTTGCCGCGCAATTCGTTTCTGGCTGTGATGATTCATACTGTAATGAGTGCTGATAAGCATGTTCTAGTAAGCGAGCCTCTTCGAAGGCGTCCTTTAAACTCAAAACAGTCTTTTCAAGTAGACGTTTTCGAATGCTGTTGGACACTAGTCCATTGATAGACGAATCTCTAATAGCCTCTTCTCTGTGTTGTTCAGCAGTCACCGCCCTGAAGTTGCAATCTTTGGATAGAATACTTAATTTCTGCATGTAGGCGTCTATAGTTTGATTTTTCTCTTGTTTGCAAGTAGCTAACCTGTGTCTAGCAAACAACTCATTCTTTGGTTGAATGTAGATGCCATTTAGAGTCTGGATTGCTTCATCAAATGTCTCTTTATCAAGTATCATTTGATATACAGCAGGAGAGATATAGTTTATCAGTAGTTTCTTAGTATCAAGATCATCTACTGATACTGCTGATGTTAAATTTTTAAAAGTTTCATACCAGTGCTGCCAATGCTCTGCTGCTGAGGTGCTGTGGGCTCGATGTCAAACTTCTCTGGCAGAAATATCCTATCCATTTCGAAATTCTTACAACTTCACAGTTTTGGATTCAGTGTATTAAATTGTTATGAACATAAAGATAATAGAGTCGAGAACCATGTCTGTATAGTATGGCTTTAATACACTGAATGACTACACAACACACATTTCGTGAACACATTCTCACGAACGAGTTACAAGCACATGTAAACATAAGAAAGATAACCGATACAGAATACAATTTTCATAAAATACATTTACACCATAGGTTTGAAAATTCCTTAATTAAATTATTACATTTATGGAATGGACTGGATTTGAAGTGGCTGTCCTATAGTCTGTTCGACCGTTGGGGCACCGTACACGATCTCTCTTTATTCTCAATTTATCTTTTCTTTTTTTTTTTAACTTTACTGTGTAGCAATAACGTTAAGAATATATCATACATGATACTTAAGCCAACAACTTGGCCTTCTGTTAAAGCTTATTTATCAGTCGTTGACCTCCTTCAGTCGTAGGACGACTATGGTTCATCTCAGAGCACACTTCCTCATGTGGCTGTGGAGCCCTATTTTGGAGAGACACTCCCGTCCACAGATAGCGCAGGTTAAGGTGGCTTTTGCTTCGGTGGTAGAGGAGCTGGCCGTTTTTCGGATTGTGCGTTTTTCTTCCTGGGCTGAGGCCCATGTTCTTTCACTGTCCATAGCTTTCTTGGTCACTGTCTCTCTCCACCTGTTGCGGTCTAGAGCTATGTCTTCCCAATTGTCAGTATTGATGTTCACTGAATTGAGATCATGTTTTATTACATCTATGTAACGGAGGTGGGGGCGACCAGTTTTTCTTGTGCCAGTCGCGAGTTGTCCATAGAGGATGACTTTCGGGATGCGCTTGTCCTCCATCCGGCGAACATGTCCAAGCCAGCGCAAACGGCGTTGTCTGAGAGCTGTAAAGATGCTGGGAATACCTGATCGCGCAAGGATCTCAGTATTGCACACTTTTTCTTTCCATGTAACATTCAAGATCCTACTTATATATATACATATATACATATACATATTTATATATAATATATATATATATATATATATATATATATATATATATATATATAAATTTATATATCATTGCACAACTCAGAACATTCAGGAGACCTCCACATCATCCAGATAATTAAAATATACAAAATGACATATTTTGCGACGATACAGAGACAGATCTATAACAACTGCTTAGGTATGGAGGTGTAAAGCTCAAGAGAGATCTTAAGGGGAGGATGTGTTGAAGCAGGCCAGAGCCTCCATTGGCTGTGGCGCCACTGGGATGGATGAAGGATAAATAAAGATTGTACTAAATCACGTCTCACGGTTAGCCCAAAGGTCTGCACTGCTCATGTTAACCAATCTAGACCTTCGGTTTCACTCTGTCGCCACGTTGAGGCCCGTGAGTTCCGACAGAGACCTAACATTCCAAAATTGTCACCATACTAAATTTCAAGCTAGAATTAGTTACTGTGGAAATAACTATGGTAACATTTTCTACAAAGGCTATTGCAGACCATTTCTTTTCCTTTTTCTTATAACACAATTTTACTAAATACATAAATGATAGACTTGTACTAGGTTATCATTCTGAACAGCAAGCACTAATGGTATTGAAAGGAAACGAGTGCGTGACATTATACCACAGCAAAAGTTTAAAAATTGCAGACGATGAACAGAAAGTCTAAACATATGAAGAATGATAACAATAGTATATTGTGGTCTATACAAATGTAAATAGTCCACAATCAAATATTAAAACCAAAAACGAACAGAAAATTATGCCGAATGTAAACATTAAGAGGCACATTTTGACAAGGATGCACTTCATATGTTATGGCTCAAGTCATAGATAAGGACTACATAGAAACACAGATCATCATCCAGTAGGTGGTATAAGGGAATAGAGAGATGCTATTGTAAGGGAAGAAACGGATGTTCTTTACATATATATATATATGGCAAGGTCTGAAGGGGGAACTTTTTTTGCAAGTCTCAGACATACTTCAGAAATGACTTCCTAGCCCAAACGTCCTGAAAGACAGTAGAATATATTTATTACAATGTACGTCCTTTGCGACCTGGCAACCAGCCTACCTTTACTCAAACAATTCACGTATAAAACTTGGTATTTGTGCTAAACTAAATCCAGTGTGAATATCTATTTATCTATCTCTATCTATATAAAATAAATAACATATGAAAACTAAAGAAAACAGGTACAAATGGCCTGCAATAGTGAGAAATATTTCAATCATTTAGTGAAGTTTTATGATCATCAAGTTGAATAATTTAAATAAAGGGTCATGGATATATTTATATATAAAAAACATGCTAAATTTAATGTGATCAATATTTTAGTTCAAAACATTTTAAATGAAGTTGTCGCTTTTGTCTTTTTTTTTTTTGTGTCTTTTTTCTGTTTGTTTTTTTCTCTTCATTTTTTTTCTGTTTGTTTTTTTCTCTTCATTTTTTTTCTGTTTGTTTTTTTTTCTTTTCATTAAATTAAAATTTTTTTTTTTGTATATAAATTTTTTATAATGCTTTTTTTTTCTTTTTTTTTTTTTATTATTAATTATTGCAAATTACATAATGGCAAACCTACCACGAGCTAAGGAGGCTAAAGAAAAATATAATATAATTCTAAGAGAGGAAAAAGTTGTTCGTTTAAAAAAAATTCTAAATTTTTTTTCTTATATTTCTTTTATGGTGTTCAGAAGTGTAGCATTTTTTAAAATAATAATAAAATAATAATAATAATAATAATAATAAATAATTTCGTAATCTACGACTGTCAAATTTTTTTTCTAAAATGTATTTAAAAAATGTTAAAGTTGTATAAAGTCGATACAAGACAACATACTTCAGGTATAATTTAGATTAAGTTCATTCTCCTCAGCTCGTGGGGATTTGCAAAAAAAAAAAAAAAAAGTCTGGGTTCGGCTTCCTAGACGATCTGATTGGTGACGCAGGTGACGCAGCCCTCCATGTACGGCAGCTCGTTGACACATGGATAGTGGGGAAAAAGAAAAGAAAAAAAAATTAGTTTATTTCTTTATCAATAAAAAGTGTTTTTGGTTGTTTCGTGCTGTGTACAGAGTTTCATTATGTATTTAAAAAAAAAAAAAATTTAGTTTGTATCTGAAATAAGATTTTATTACAGATATTTTACAAATTAAGGCAATGCTATGTACACATGATCCCCTATAATTTTATATCAGACATTTCTTATTCATCACCATATTTTTTTTTTCATTTCTTCTTTGTGTCGATGTGATATTTAATCGAATCAATTGATAAGGTCTCAAAGGTCAAGGATTCTATAATCAGATCGAGGCCACTTTGGGAACTAGGTCAATCAGTAAAAAGAGAATTTTCTCAGACAAATATTTTTGTTTAGAGAATACACTATCCCATTCACTTTTTCCAGTAAAGTAATTGTGTTGCTTTGGTCAGTTTAGTAAATATCCAATTTCACTTGTATTTGTAGCATAGAAGATACTTTAAAAAAAACAACTTTGATGTATCATATAATTAGCCTATGTTTCGATTCATTATTTTGTTTCGTTTCAGTTTTTTCAACTCTCTTTGGTGAATTCCCAATTTTCAAGTTTTCTTTATTCATCTTCTTTCACCTTATCAATAGACATTCCCATGAGCCAATGCAAATTGACCAATTTTTTTTTTTCCATTTACCGTCTTCACCTTATCCCTAAGCATTGCAATGAGCAACTTCTAACAAATCGTCTAATTCTTTGTTCATTCATCTTATCCCTTGGCATTCCCATATCCCGTCAAATCTTCATTACTTTCTAATAAAGCTCAGAAAACGTAAGATCATTTAATACAATTTTTTATTGGTCCTTTATCATTTCTCAGAGTGATAATGTGAACAGTCCAAAACATGGACACAAATTGTTTGTTTCATGTCACAGTAACAAGCAGATCCACAGTTTAGAGTGTCCAGTGCTTCACTGAAAATAGGCTCCAATGTTGACGTTGGGACCTCGAGCCAAAATCTTCCTTGGCTGAATCAGCTGTAATAGTCTTCCACGTTCATTGGTAACGGTGCAGTCAGTCAGCACTTCATCTCTATTAGATGCAATAATAATTTTTGTTGATACTTCCAACTGAGCATCGATTCTTTGAAACTGTTTTTTTGATAAGAAACAAGAAACTAGCAATCAGCATTGGTAAATAGAAGTTTTGAGTCTAAGTGAAAGACATGACGCTAAAATCCAGTAGAGAAGAAATGTTGCTGAAAGCTAGTTACGAAATGAAAATGCGAAACAAACGAATTGATTAAAAAAAACAACAACACATAAACTATAATTAAAAAGATGCAACTATTCCAATGTTCATAACCTTATTTCTTACACAGAAGAGTCGAGACAGTCACCGCCTTTGTCCGTTTGGTGGAGTCAAAGCAATTTTGGGAATGCCTTCAATCTGACACGGTTCCTTCTTATGTAAGAGATTCATTGACTGAAGGAATATAATTTCATTGCATGGGGTTGTCCAGCAAAAACTTTCAGGCCATGAATATCCCTATTGTAGAAGGCAGCTGGTTGTATGAAGGTTGCCCTGTTTTTAACTTCGATCCAAGAAACTTCATCGGCGTGAATTGTAAAAAGTAGCTATAGGTAGACATTATGGTGTCAAGTACTCAGGCATTTATTCAGATACAAACTAAAGTAACATTTATCAATCTTAATTGCTTGAAGTTTTTGAAAAAAAAATGTATGTCTTGCTAGAGTACGCAGACATTTAATAACTAGACCAAATTTGATCACAGTATATATATGAAACGTTATACATTATTTCAAACAATTCTGTATAATGTTCTACTAGCATCCAGCTAAATCCAGTTAAACCTTATTATGTAAAATAAGATAAAATAAACCGGTTATACTAGTATCAAAATAAAGCTATTTAAGATTGTGCTTTTGAGTCGAGATTTATATTATAATACGATTTTAAAATTTAGTCGCGTCAAACTGCTAATTAGAACTTTTGCAACACATTTCGACAAGAAATGGTTTGTCAGTCATGGCTTTCCAAGTTATTATTGCGCATGACTTAAAGACAGTCACGTATATGAATATCTAGCAATATATTTGAGACAAGAAAAGTTAACTCTCTTTACAACATCAGATACAGACAACAAATGGAGCTGCTGATGTAAAGAGACACAGAGCGAAGGCTTGACTGGATTTAGTGTCTAGTATGTAAGTAGAATGGGTTGTTGTCAAAAGTCAACGTACCGTTAAACGTAAAAGCTCTGTAGTTGCGTTGTCCCTGCTCCCATCATGGGTAACAATTTGAACAGCATTGCGTTCTCGCAGTTTCTTATAGGACGCAAATCTTTGAATCATTCAGATATGAACATGAGACAATATAAGACTAAGTAGGCAAGAAGGCGGAACTCTCCTACATTCATACATTCAGGAAATGCTAAGACTTAATATCTATGTGTTTTTTTTGTTTTAAAGACAGAAATAAAAAAACTATTTCAGGCAAACCTTCTAACATTTATTCATAAAATAAATACGAAATTTGCTGCCTCTGATAAATTAATGTTTAACTTACATTATTTCATAAATGCAGAAATATAGCCACATAGATTAGCATCAGTGTCCATAATGGGACATATACAAAGAGAAAATATAGCATTTGTATATTAACACAGACGGACTATCTTCTATAGCACCTCCGTATGTATTATAGGTTTCACATCTGTTGCATACGCATAAAAAACGCATTTTTAAAACTATATACCATTGTTTTGTTCTGTTAAAAGCACATGTTTATAAAAAAATATCTTATTTCAACGATGGCACAGGACTTCATACTGATCTTATATGAAGGTGTCTAAGTAGTGAAGGTGTCTGATTCACTTATCTGAAATTTTCTAATTGTAAACGTTATATACCAGTGATGCTCATCCGAATTCGACCTGCGGGCCATTTTAACTTTCAAAACGCGTGTCGCGGGCCACATCAATAAAAAGGTAAAAAAAAAAAAGAAATCCAAATTCCCCTGAAACTATTTGAAACTATTGGATCTAGTACTTACATTAATGGGATATTTAAAGTCTATCCTTTTTTACGCCTCTAAAAATGGGCTCATTTCTCTACTTAAAATGTGAGCGACATTGTAGCTACCTTTACCACCAACTTATTTTCTTGTCACTTTTTGGTTAATATTCCCATTGATCATCCAATCTCTAGGTGTAGTTTGACCAATCTTTTATACGCGGCTCAAAAATAATAAGGCCTTCCTATTTGTTTTATAATGCCGCTTGGAGATGCTGTTGATGTTTTTGAAACAGCCAGACTGGAGACTTACAAAACAAATATGTTGGCTTATTATCATGTTACACAAAAAAGATCCATTTACTTTTCCTGGTAGATTCTACATTCAGAGTCCCATTTCATAAACTCATAAACACACAATCGTTAAAGTTTAAGGTACCAATCCATCAGAGAAAACGTGAAGGCCCGAACTTTTTTGAAGGGGAAGGATTTTCTACTTTTGTGCCGACGTTTCGGCGGGCCGGATGAAGCCACGTCGTGGGCCGGTTCTAGCCCGCGGGCCGTACTTTGAGCATCACTGTTATGTACCATTTCAATCCGGTGGTTGTTATTAGAATGATACGGCTTTATAATAAAATGAGATAGACGACCGGTGGCGTAGCATTACGCCGCTATTTCGGAGGGCCGCCTTTGGCCACCGCAACCTATGCGTCCGCAGTGTGGCCCGCTCTTTCATAGGACCCGCGCTAATTCTAGGTGTATAAATTATTAAATGTAAACGTTTTATAACTTATATCAGATTTTGCACAGCCCCCTGAAATTGCAAAATATAGGAAAAAGTCCTGGAAATATTTGGAAATTATTACAAACTTTTGAAAACTCATACAAATCTCCTGAAATATATAGACAAACATTGTCATTTTCGGATGTCATTCAATATGGAAAAAGCCAATCCTACGCGCGATAAAATAAACGACATTATGCAATACCCGTAATTGTGGAATCTAGTGAACGAAGCTTCTCGCGCCTCAAACTAATGAATAATTACTTGAGGTCAACAATTCTCAAAGATAGATTGAAACATTTGGTAATTCTTGCTATGGAGCGTGATCTATGTAGGAAAGGTTAGGGTTAGGGTTAGGTTAAGTACGATTTCTTTTCCTCGTTCAAGATACTTATAAATGATTAATTACCAATAGTTAATTAACTAATTGGATATTTTTTTTTATTGATCTTGAATAGTCAGGTAAAAGAAATAATTGTGCAAAATTTCAGCCATATCTGAGATTGGGTGTTGGAAAATTAACGTGTACAACCTTTTACCAGACATGCAAAGTGATTTAATATAAGCTTTATAATAAACAGCGAAACAATAAGATTACACAATTTATTTAAACCTAGTCAGGCTAGTATACTCCAACAATAACATTGGACACAGGTTTATGTCTTCTCTTCCCGGG